TCAAAAAAAAAAAAAAAAAAATACATACTAGCAAACTGAATCCAAGAACACATTAAAAAGACCAAGTGGAGTGGCACCTGTGGCACAGTGAGTAGGGCGCCGGTCCCATATATTGAGAGTGGTGGGTTCAAACCCGGCCCTGGCCAAACTGCAACAAAATATATCTGGGCATTGTGGCGGGCACCTGTAGTCCCAGCTACTTGGGAGGCTGAGGCAAGAGAATCTCGCCCAAGAGCTGGAGGTTGCTGTGAGCTGTGACACCATGCACTCTACCTAGGGCGACATAGTGAGACTCTGTCTCTAAAAAACAAAAGACCAAGTGGGTTTTATCCCTAAGAATGCAAAAGGTACCTCAACAAATACAATATAGCACACTAATAGAGGTAAAGGGGAAAAAATCCACATGATTACCTCAATCAACACAGAAAAAAATTGACAGAATTCAACATATTTTCATCATTAATAAAAAAGAATTAGCTGAGCTTAGCAGTTCATGCCTGTAATCCTAGCACTTCGTGAGGCTGAGGAGGGAGGATCACTTGAGGCCAGGAATTTGGGACCAGCTGAGCAAAAGCAAGAGCAAGACCCTGTCTCTACAGAAAAATAGGAAAAATGGGCATGATGGTACACACCTGTAGTCCCAGCTACTTGGGAGCCTCAGGTGGGAGGATTACTTGAGGCCAGGTGTTTGAGGTTGCAGTAAGCTATGATGACTCCACTGCATTCAAGCCTGGGCAACAGAGCTAGATGTTGTCTCAAAAAAAAAAAAAAAAAAAAAAACCCACAGCTACATCATACTTAATGGCAAAAGACTGAAAGCTTTCCCCCTAAGATTAAGGATAAGATAAGGATGTCTACTTTCACCACTGCTATTCAATATTGTACTGATAATCCTAGCCAGAGCAATTAAGCAACAAAAATAAATAAAAGGCATCCGACTAGAAAGGAAGAAGTAAAACTATCTCTTTTTGCAGATGGCACATATAGTAAATCCCATAGGATCCACAAAAAACTGAAGCTAATAAATGAAGTCATTAAAGTTGCAGACTAGGCTTGGCGCCTATAGCTCAACTAGCTAAGGCGCCAGCCACGTACACCTAAGGTGGCGGGTTCAAATCCCCAGCCCGGACCCGCCAAACAACAATGATGGCTGCAACCAAAAAATA